GAGAGAGATTTACAAAGTAAAATATTTAAGTAGACTAACAAAATTTTCATATGTTATTTTTGCAGTGGTTATATGTCACCCGAGTATGCAATGGAAGGATTATTTTCAATAAAATCTGATGTTTTCAGTTTTGGGGTTGTAGTGCTGGAGATCATTTGTGGCAGGAAAAACAGCAGTTATTATCAAGACAAGTATCTAAATTTGATTGGACATGTAAGTAAAATGCATGTCATAGTTTTTAGAATGACAAATAATATTATTGATGATTATGCTTAAACTGTTTCAGGTTTGGGACCTTTGGGGAAAAGGAGAAGCCTTGGACATGGTTGATTCATCATCGCTACTTGAGTCATATCGAACTCATCAAGTTCAGAGATGCATTCACATTGCGCTTTTGTGTGTGCAAGAACATGCCAACGATCGGCCAACCATGCCAACAGTTGTTCTGATGTTGTGCAATGAAACTTCTCTTCTTCCGCCTAAACAGCCTGCATTTATTTCAAGATCATCTAATTGTGGTCCGAACTCATCATCAGCTAATGTTGGAGTTTGTTCCATAAACGATATTATAGTTACTATGGTTGAGGGCCGGTAAAAGCTTCGGTCTATTTGAGTCTTTAACTCTCAAATTCTAGGTCAAATTTTGAGACCCGTAGAGAGAGTAGAAAGCGGCAAAAAAAAAAAATTTAGCTATCAAAAATTATACCTTAGTCTGCCATTCCTATTAGTACTCTGCTGACTAACATTATCCTTTGGAGGTAGCTCAATATTTCGGAAATGTTGTGTTGTGGTATTATTTTGTTTTTTTGTATTACTTTAATCCAAGCATTTAGTGTATTTTCTCATAGCTGACTAGCCTCGGTTGAAGTAAATTCTTGCAAGTAGGAGTACTGGAACTTGGGCGGGCCTTATAACCCGAGGAATCCAAAAAAAAAAAACATGCCCCAGCACTCATATGATATTTTGATTTGGTCTATAACCATTTTGCTAAATATCATTCAAGCCAAAATGACAATTTAAAAACAAAGAAATAGTTAAAGATAATAAAAGCAAAAAAAATAAAAATAAAAAAATGCCCTAAGACTCTTTACATTTTGATTTGGTTGTACAAAATTGGTATTAAAAAGATTTTATAAAGCTTTGTAGCCCTTTCTTTTCATTTTTTCTCATTTTTAAATGGATAACAAAACCTTCTCATCATTACTAATATGTGTCTCCCTGCAACCCCAAATCCCTCCATTTCTTTTCCAGCATTAGCTTTTCTTTTCTTTTCTTTGCAACCAAACTGGGCGTAAAGTCATGGTCATAGCAGCCTCAATTATTGATCGGACTGGATTGTCGTTGCTCCTCACTTGGACCACCCCACCATATGTGATTGTGACACTGCTTACATTTCGGCATAGTAAGAAAGGAAAATGACAAAGATAGAAAATATATATATTTTTGGATTAATTTCATTGACATTTCCTCAAGTTTAACCAAATATCATATTGCAAATATTTGTTCTGTCTTTCACTCCCACCCCACCCATCACATGCATGCCTCTGACATCGTGTAAAATGACTTAAATACCCTTTGACTTTGTTAAAGGAGTATTTTGACCTTAAAATTAAATTAAAGGACTAAACTACCCCTAAATGATTTGTAAATTTACAATTAAGATCCCAGACAAAAAAGATCTAATAATGTTTTCCACGTCATTTAATATATGGGTACTTATGTAATATTAGAATTCTAACTTCTCCGCCTTGACTCTTCATCATCGTTTCCTCTACGCTATTCCATTCCTAGATGAGAAACAGAACAACCGTGCCGAGACTAGCTGATCTGCCGCCGGCGACTGAGAGAGCTTCGATTATGGGTTGCCAACGTCAACTATGTGATTTATTCGCGGGAATACCACCAACTGACAGTAATCCATAGGGTTTTAGTGGCGGTGGTTTTGGGGTGGGAATGGTGTCTGTGGCAACACAGGTGGTGGTGTCAATGGTGGTTTCTTCTCTGAAATTCACATTTTGTGGTGGTGACTCCTCCGATTGTGGTGGTCGTGCCTTTAATTTTGCCGGTGGTGGTTTTGGTTGTGGAATTGGTGGTGTTTCATTCCGCCATGAGAATTACCACAGTTGAGAATTGACTGTGCTATTTCGCCGGAGATGGCTGAAATTGTTTATCTGTTGATGAATAAATAGAGAGAGATAGTTGTGATTCAGTTGTCGTGGTTCAACATCCAAAATATTTATTGTGGTGGTGGTGGTTTTGGAGTGAGGATGGTAGTGGTGACTCGGTAATGCGAGGTGAGGGGCTGAGGAGGTTGCTAAAGCTGTCATTGAATTGTTTCTCATTAATGTAGCTATTGATAGGGGCAGACTGACAATGAATGAGCATATATGTACATCATGTTCACTTGGAATTTTCCATTGACTCACCGGAGACTAGGCCGTCCACCATCATCTTCGCCGGTTGGGTCACTACGCATAGCCCAGATGTGAAAACCAAAATAATAATGAGAATATGAAAGAGGTGTCTTGAAAGAGAGATGGTTTTGGTATAGGATGACGAAGAAGCCGGATAGCTTTTGTTGGTATGGGTTGTGGTGGCACATAGTGTAATAATAAGGGGTTTAATGGTAAAATGATATTAGAGAATAAATGAGATTAAAAAATTAGGGACAAAATTGTCCTTTACATATTTTTAACGGAATCTGTTAGGAAAAAGTAAAAATGGACCTACATAATAATTATTTTTGAAAGATATTTAAGGGTGAAAAATAGCCAAACCTAAGAGGGTGCCAATGAAATTTATCCTATATTTTTTTAAATCATGCATAATGAACAAGGTGGAATTGCATTAAATCTCCCTTTTTTATTTGTGCTTTGCACTAAATCCCCTAATTTTATTTTTTTTTTAATTTTTTTTTTTTTTTGGCCAAAGAACTTAGCTAAAAGGGACTTATTTGGACATTGAGTTTTCTCATATATATATATATATATATATATATATATATATATATTTGGAGACGAAAATACCCCTGTATATACCATATATATTTACTTCATTGTCACTTCTAAGTCCTAACTACGTATCCTCCACCATTACAGCATATTATTTATACTATATTTGCATTTCCAATCAACCTTCAGCACATGATTATGAGTACATGATTATGAGTCTTTTTTTGAAATTTACCTGTTATTTATTTATTTTTTTAAAAAATTATATTGTGCATTCATTTATTTAATTTTTATTTTATAGATATTTGTTAAATGGATTTATCTTCCACCAAAAAGGGAACAATGCCTACGTGTTTTTCTTCTTTTTTTTTCTCTCTTTTTTTTTTTTCAAAATAATTTTTTCTTAAAAGATATTCTTATATTATAAGCTGCTAATTTACAATCTATTCCTTTCATGCGACTATTGTGGACTTGACAAGTATTGTGACATTATTTTTGAACTGTTTAGCTCATGCTTTTATGGACCAAACTATTTTCTATTTAATAAAAGACTGGATTCAAAACCTTTTTCTTTTTATCTTAAAGAAAAAAAAGTCTAATAAACTATTAAAATATTATGCTTAAAAACAATAATAAAAAAATAAAATTATCAAGACTGGTCGATAAAGCTGATTTTTAAATAAGCTAATGAATATTTTATTCAATTTTAATTGCGGAATTTTAGCGCAATTAAAATTCAATCTACTGTGTGTTCCCTTTCGGCATCTTGTGATAATTGCGGAATTTTTTGGGCAAAATAATAGAGGGGGGTTTGGTGCAAAATTTTGAAGTTGCCCACCCTATGAAATATGTAACGTGCGTAATATATGGACCACGAATATCATAGATATTTTCCCAACCGGCTTAGACGACAATTCTTCTTATCTTTCAAACTATACCATCGAACACACGGCCAATCCAGCTTCAAATAAATATGTAAAATTGACAGAACTACTGATAAATGGGGTATTATTCTGTGTCACATAACATTATCCCATGGATCGTGTAATTTAATTTAAACTTTTGCCGGCCCAACCAAAACTTAGGAGAGAAAATCATCGAAAAATGTATGGTGTCCTGTTTTTTTTGCTAATTTCATTTCTTGTCACCCGATTCTGCACTTCGATTGACACTATATCCTTGAACCAGTCCATTAGGGACAGCCATGGAGACATATTAGTCTCTAGCGGAGAATTCTTCGCGCTCGGGTTCTTCAGTCCTCGCAATTCTAGCAAAAGATACATCGGAATTTGGTATTACAAAGTTCCAGAACAAACAATAGTTTGGGTTGCAAGCAGAGATAATCCGATCAATGCCACCTCTGGAGTTCTCTCCATCGACAAAACCGGGAACCTCGTCATACATGGTGGAGACGATAGTGTCCCCCTCTGGTCAACCGATGTCTCGGTGGCAGCTCCCGCGAACACTTGTTCAGCTCAACTGTTGGATTCAGGAAATTTGGTTTTGCTTCAGGGTGCTGCCAAAAGGAATGTTGCATGGCAGGGCTTTGATTACCCTACAGATAATATGCTTCCTTTCATGAAAATTGGGGTGGACTGGAGGACTGGTTTGAACCGGTTCATAACGGCTTGGAAGTCACCTGATGACCCGGGTGCCATAGAGTGTTCCGACAAGATGGACCTTAGTGGGTCCCCACAATTGTTCTTGTCCAGGGGTTTGGTTTGGTTATATCGATCAGGTCCATGGAATGGGCTTAAATGGAGTGGTGTTCCGCGGACAGCATATAAATTCATCTTCAACACCAGTTACGTTGACAATCATGATGAGGTCTTCATAGTTTATGGCTTACTTAATGTTTCGATTTTCACGAGATTGGTCGTGAGAGAGTTGGGTATTTGCGGAAAAGCTTACATGGCTCAAGGGAGAACGTATATGGGACAGGAACTGGTCAGTCCTGAAGAACTGATGCGAATCTTATGGTACATGTGGTTCATATGGTAACTGTAACCCACGTGATGATGGGGAGTTCAAATGCACATGCTTACCTGGTTTTGAGCCCAAGGTTGCACATGACTGGTCCTGTTGCACATGACTGGTCCTTGATGGACGCGTCAAGTGGGTGTGTGAGGAAACGTAGGGTACACGTGTGTGAAAATGGAGTGGGAGTTGTTCGGATGACAAGTGCTAGCATTCCCTACTCATCGGTGACACGTGTGAATATGAGTTTGAGCTTGAAAGACTGTGAGGAGGTGTGCTTGAAGAATTGTTCTTATAATGGTTACACGAGTGGCTGATATAAGTGGAGAAGGGAGTGGGAGTGGGTGTGTTACTTGGCAACGCACCGGTGTGTTACTTGGCATGGTGCGTTGGTGGATACAAGAGTGTTTTAAAATTGAGGCTAGGATATATACACGTGTTAATGCAGTTGAAGTAGGTATGCATTTAATCTTTCATACTCATGTATTTGCAATCCTTCATTTTAGTCAAACTTGTTTCAGCTCAATTAATTTGCACCCTAACGGTTCATGATTTGACGAGGTTGGCTAGACAAATAGTTTGATAATTTAAATTTTTCTTAATGATAGTTTCTTTATAATATGATTGATGGAACAAATTACGAGTATAAAAATTATGTACTAGTATATAATATAATTTTTACGCAAATTCTTATTTGTACAAGCCCATAATTCTAGTACCTTACTCCAACATTCTCATAATAACAGTCTAATAATGGTGCTTGGATCGTTGTGATGATTCTCCAGCTAGATGTTTACTTTTTCGGAGTCTAGGAAGCACGGACACAAATACCGATACGAGTTATACAAACACGATGATACAAATCACTCTCTCTATATATAGCATATGGACACCACAAGAATTTGTTAAAAATATTATTATAAAAAATAACTTTTTTTTTTTCAAAATTTTGATAAAAACATACACATTGAGGGGATGTCTCCACTTTTCTTTTTCTTTTTATTCTTTCTCTTATTCGATTTTTTTCTCTTTTTATTCTTCTTCTTGCTTTTTCTCTAATTGATTTGGCTTTTATTTTGAAATGAGAATTAAGAACAAAGCTATGCAAACCTGAATAAAATCATTTTTTTTCCCCAGAAAATAAATATACCATTATTGTTGAGATTTTAAGCTTAATTTTTATGCTTACATTTTTATCCCATTTGATTTTAAATTTTGATATAAGCTCCATGGTTTATTTATTTATTTTTTTTCATATTAAAAAAAAATCACTATTTGACCATGCTGTATCATGTGTCGTGTCCTTGCGTATCTGCACTATATCTTGTATCTGTCACAAAAAAAATAATCATTTTAAAATGCGGATATTTTTACCCGTACCCAACATGTGTCTGGTCGTATCCCCAGCTTGTCCAATATTGTCAAGGCACCTCTGACGGAGTATCCTTACTTCCTAGCTGTTGTGCTCAATGTCCTTTTGTTTATATTTTAGAAAAATTACGCATAAATAGAGTTAGGTAGAGTTAGAAGTCCTAAATAATAAAGTAGTCTATTTTAAAAGTTTATATTTTTATATGATTGAATTAAGCAAAATAATTACAAATGTATCAAGAATTATTGTTTCCTTTGAATTTTAAAAAAAAGATTTTCTTTTTTTCTAGTTGATATTATTGCTTGGAGGGCTTTTGAGATCGGCCTCAAAAATCTAAAATTGCAGAGCACTAGCTCTTCTTGATTTGTAGCTCAAGATTCTGAAATATGACATAATAAAAGTCTCTTATTTATCAAACATTTCTAAAATAAAGACAAACGTGTTTGTGTCAAATTTCTTGCCTTGCACAACTTAGTTAATGTTCTATATTTCTGCAAAGGAGTTCTTCAAATCAATTGTTTTACTCACAATGCACTATTCAGTTTTTTAAGTTCTCATTATCAACTATTTAATTCGTATTTTCCGGTTCAAATTGGTTCTCAACTATTTATTTTGGTATTATATGATTTTAATAAGCATATTTTGGTATTTTGATTAAGAACTTGGAAGTCATCTTAGACCTTAACAATAATTTTTTATGTATCTATAATTATTTTGCTTTATTCAATCAAAATGAAAAATAAACTTTTAATATGGATAATTTTGTTATTTAGGATTCCTAACTTTAGCTACTTATGTGTAATTTTTTCTATTTTTTACATTATATAATTTACTGTAAATTTACCTCTCTAGAAATAAAATGATATAAAATAGGATTCCTAACTCTACCTATGTGCGTTCCTTAGTTCGTTTAGAGTGTTTTTTTTTTTTTTTTTTTTTCCTTCACTTTTGTGATACCAAAAGTGATAATTTTTGTATTAAATCTCTAACCATTACTTCTTTCCAGCTCAATATTCCAAGTTGAAAGGCAATAATGGCAAGAAGGCGACGGTGGCCATTCTGGTACTGTCTGTTGTTGTTGGGTCATTTCTCACAATCTTCTTAGCATATTGGTTTGAGATGAAGAAGAGGAAAGGTAAACAGATTAATTATTCTTCCTATATATTATATGTGATGTTTTCAATTTTCAGCATTTTTCTTGAACTTCCGTTGATGCAAGGGTATTTTCGTGATTTCACGTTTTGCGTACGGGATTGTGGTTGGGGCCAATTGCATTTTGTGCATTTTAATTTATATGATTATGTGGTATTTACTTAGTGGTGCATGTATTTTAATGTGTGGTGCAAATTGAGACAAAAGATAAAGAGAAAAGAAATAAAATTTGTGGGACCCTTCACTATAGTTAAAGTGGTCTAGAGACCACAATTCTGCCTTCTCATTTCTCTCTCCCGTAGCTTCCTTCTCTCTCTCATTTTCCTTTCTTTCTTCTTTCCATTTGAGAAGCAAACTTTGGATCTTGATTTCTCCTTCAATCTTTAGAGATTTGAGTGTCGTTTGAGGCAAAACGGAGGGCACGACGAGCTTTACACGTTCATACCGACAATTCCAGCTTTGAGTCTCCCTAGGGAATTCGAAATTAGGAACCCATTTTAAGGGTTTTGCATCAACTTGAGGTAGGGGCTTCCTAATCCGCATATTCTTGCACTTTTGTGAGTCAAATTACTTGAATTGTGACTTAACATGCTTATTTGTGCTAATTGTATTTTGAAATGATTTAATTGTGTATATGTGGTTATGTGAGGACATGTATTAAATGTGTTATGTGGAAAGCATGCTTATATGATGAATTTCTATGCTTATTATGTTGTTTATATGCTATATATGATGGATAAAGGCATGCTTCGTTGTGTCATGTGAGAATCCTTTATTATTAGAGCATTAAAAGTATGAGACATGCATGTAAGTTTTTGGGTTTCATGATGGGTAATGTTTTGGATAAAGTAAAAAGGGAATTTATGGGAGAAAATTGTTTTGAATCAGTTTTGAGAAAACTCGGTCGCCGCGGGGGTACCAAGGGTCAGGGACACTAGCCAATCCTTCTTTCGTGTCGCTGCGGGGTCACCAAAGGGCGGGTTATATTAACAGTTTGAAAGTGATGATTTTAAATGTGAAAAAAAATGGGGAGCGACATTGGCATGCATTGCATCCCCATTGCATCATATTATTTATGTTGAGATTGGAAACCATGTTGTAAATTTCCCGACATTGTATGATCCCGTTTTCCATGGTTCTATTCTTTGTTTTGGATTCACGGGGACTCAAGAGGTGCGTCTTAGGCGCCACTTACTGAGCAAATTGTTTACCCCACCATATTTAAATTCTTTTCAGGTCATGGCAAGGAGTTGGCGGGTGGTAGTCCACCTCATGCTTGAGAGCACCTAGGAAGCATTTTGGATGTATTTTTGTAGAGCTTGACTTATTTTGTAAAGATGTGTTACTTTTGCAACATGTAAAATATTAGGATTTATCATGTACATGGCTAGTGGGGTAATGTAATTGAGTGTACCAACATTTAATCCTTTTGTGTATTTAAGTGACGTGTGGCAAATTATGTTAACAACGTGGTTGTTGTTATTATATTAAGTGTTAAAATGTATTTAAATTTGTACGTGAGTGTTATGGTGTGGGTGGTTAATTACCAAATGTTAGTGTATATTAGTTCTCATTGGACAGTGGGGAGTTGAGTGGGGAATTACTAGAACCAGTCGACGTATAGTTCCATACGTCAACTGAATAACCTGAACCAGTCGATGTGTAGCATCCCACACGTTGACCGGTATCCTGTCAGTGAGTTTTTTCACTGTACACGTTCCAAACCAATCGTCGTGTAGCTTCCCACACGTCGACCGGTATCCTAGCAGTGAGCTATGTCACTATTCATAAACCAGTTAACGTGTAATGAGCACACGTCCACCGGTTATTCCACCTATAAAAATTTTCTTTGATTTCCCTAATTACACTTTAGCACCCAATTGATGTTGCGAGTAATTATTTTATGACCCAATAAAATTCAATAATTATATTTTAACCACATAAAAGACTATATTACCCAGGAACCTTATCTTAATTATTTTATATTACGAGTAATTGACCATTATACCCTTAGAGTCTTAAACCAATGGAATTGTGACAAATGACCATTTCGTTCTTGATGGACTTTAATATATTAATTTAACGTGAAAGAACCGTATAATCCTTGGATGATTTTGGGTTGGGTGAGGACCCGATTAATGATTCGGATCTAGTGGATCTGGGTCGTTATAGAATGGTATCAGAGCCTTGGTTCGAAAACCTATAGGACGACGGGTAGAGGCCTACATAGAGTTGCATGGGAAGTTGTTTGCGTTGTTTACGTGACTACTTGCTACGTGTTTTATTTCTTGAACAAGCATGCTTAACTGCTTATGTGCTTATGTGCTTAAATGTTACATTAAAATGTTTCTTGCATAGTTGTGCATGCTAAGTGATGGTACCTTATCATTTTATGTTGAGTCGTCCACGGTGGACTTTAGCATCATGTTTTTGAACTGTTTTCTCGTTTTATAGTACGATGTCACAGCATGAGGAAACCAGGGAAGTTGGCCTTAGGCCGACTAGGGGTGATGTTGGCGAGAGCTCCAGCTCTAATCCGGATGAGCTAAATGATGATGACACACTTCTTAGGGACTTGATTCCCCCAAGATTTATCCCCACAAGGAGGAAAAATGTTGAAGCACCCGTAGAAGTGGGTAAAGGTTCTATGGCACTGGAGTTGAATTGTTTGTTGCAAAGTGCCGTGAGGGCAATGATTGCGGCTCAATCGCAGTCGGCACCACAACCTACAGTTCAAGTTGAGGAGACGCCAGCTCAGAAGCGTCTTAAGATCATTAAGGGGTTCTCTCAATTGATGCCAGTCATGTTTGAGGGTGGTGCGGATCCAATGGTAGCAGAAGACTACATGGATCAAGTTAAGACTCAGTTGACCTCCATGGATATGACAGAGGATCACTTGAAGATCATCCTAGCAACTTACAAGTTTGCTAAAGATGTTAAGCTCTGGTGGAAGTCAGTTATAAGTCGGTATAAGGTGGAAGAAATGAGTTGGGACAAGTTTAAGGAATTGTTTTATGAAAAGTACTTTCTGATTTCTAAAAGATGGGAGCTAAAAGATCAGTTTCTGGGCCTTATCCAAGGCAACATGTCAGTGGCAGAGTATGAGAACAAATACACTTTACTTTCTCGCTTCGTTCCGGAAATGGTAAAGGATGAAGTCGACAAGACTCAGAAGTTTGTTTCCGATCTTAATGAAAGAATAAAGCCGTTGATAATGGCACAATTTATCAAGGTTTATTCTGAAGCAGTGGAAAGGGCTTTAATGCTGGAGGCTGACATTAAAGATAAGGACGAGAAAAGAGAGCAGTGGAAGCAAAAGAGGGGTGCAGGGCTATCATCAGAAGGATTTTCTTGGAAGAAGAACAAGGGTGGTTCGTTTCAGTTTCAGGGGCAGCAATCTGCACGATTTGCTCCTACCACTCCTATGCCAGTTGGATCTGACAAGAGTGGAGTTGTTTGTCTTCAGTGTCAGCAGCTAGGGCATTACAAGTCCAGTTGCCCTATGAGATCATCTTCAGTTTCTTCAGCTCCAAAGGCTCGTTGTGGGTGTGGCCAGCAGGGTCACTTGCTTCGAGATTGTCTGAGTCAGGGAGTAGGTACTGGCAGTGGCAGAGGATCATGAGAGAGACCGTCACAGTCGGCTATAGTGCAGTCAGGGTTCAGACCGCCACCACCACAGCCTGCTATGTCTTCTCAGGGTTCACGACCTGTTAGGAGGGATGCCCCTACTGTGTCGGTGCAGCAATCCAGTATTCAGGGTGGCAGTTCTCAGGCACAAGTACAGCAAGGCCGTGTCTTTGCACTTGCATTGGCTGATGCATCTTCTGGAGCGTCAGTTCTTTGAGGTATCTTTCCAGTGTTTGGTTCTTGGGCTCGCATTCTTTTTGACTTTGGTGCATCTCATTCCTTCATTTCATCATCATTTGCACTTGCATTGGAGTTAGAGGTTAGTTTCATGGATGAGGCGTTGTGTGTTGATACACCAGTTGGGGTTTCAGTGTCTTTGAATCGAGTTGTGCGGAATTGTTCCATTGTGATCGTTGGACGGACTTTTGTGTTTGACCTTATCTTTCTGGAGATGACTAGTTTTGATGTCATTCTCGGGATGGATTGGTTTGCTTTCTTTCGTGCCACAATCGACTGTTACAGAGGAAGAGTCACAGTTCGCACTCCTGAGGGAGACTGTTTCTTTTTCGTGGGGGATCGGAGTGATTCCCAACCTTCATCATTGTATAGACTTCGAGAACGAAGTCGTGGAGACTATTTCTTGGCTAGTCTTCTAGCTGAAGAAGATGATGTTGTAGGAGAAGACTATCCAGAGGTAGTTCGTGATTTTCTGGATGTGTTTCCGGAGGATTTGACAGAGTTACCTCTACACCGAGAAGTGGAGTTTACGATTGATTTGATGCCCGGTACCACACCAATTTCTGTGGCACCGTATTGTATGGCACCCATTGAATTGGAAGAGTTGAAGAAGCAGTTTGATGATTTGAAGATGAAAGGTTTCATCCGACCAAGTGTGTCGCTGTGGGGCGCACCAGTCTTGTTTGCTAAGAAGAAAGATGGTTCTTTGAGGTTGTGCATTGATTACCAAAAATTGAATCACGCCACCATCAAGAACAAGTATCATTTGCCAAGGATAGACGATTTGTTTGACCAGTTGAGGGGAGCTAGTTGTTTCTCGAAGATTGACTTAAGGTCAGGCTATTATCAGTTACGGGTTAGGGATGAGGATATCCCAAAAATAGCGTTCCGTATACGATATGAACACTATGAGTTCCTTGTTATGCCTTTTGGCTTGACTAATGCGCCAGCGGCATTCATGGACTTGATGAACCGCGTCTTTTATGATTACTTGGATCAGTTTGTGGTAGTTTTCGTGGACGACATTCTTGTGTACTCACGGACTCGAGAGGAGCACGAGATCCATTTGAGTACTGTTCTACAGATTTTATGAGAACACCAATTGTATGCCAAATATGAGAAGTGCGAGTTTTAGCTACAAGACGTGAAGTTTTTGGGACACGTTGTTTCGGAAGATGGAGTGTCGGTTGATCCATCAAAGGTTGATACTGTCTTGAATTGGGAGCAACCTAAGAATGTGTTTGAGATCCGGAGTTTTCTTGGTTTAGCGGGTTATTATCAGAGATTTGTGAAAGATTTCTCTCGTTTGGCAGCTTCTATGACCCGTTTGACCCTAAAAGGAATCAAGTTTGTGTGGAATGAAGCCTATGAGTCATCTTTTGGTGATACCTGAGCGTAGCTTGGGTTATGTGATCTATTGTGATGCTTCACGTGATGGGTTGGGATGCGTGTTGATGCAGGATGGTAGAGTAGTGGCTTATGGGTTTCGACAGTTAAAGACTCATGAGTACAACTACCCTACTCATAATCTGAAGTTAACGGCAGTTGTGTTTGCACTGAAGTATTGGAGATACTATTTATATGGTGAGAGATTCAAGGTATTCTCGGATTACAAGAGTCTCAAGTACCTTTTCTCCCCAAAGGACTTGAATAACAGACAGAGAAGATGGGTTGAGTTCTTGGAAGATTACAATTTTGATCTGCAGTATCATCCGGGTAAGGCAAATGTAGTAGCGGATGCCTTGAGTCGGAAATCTCGTGGAACTTTGGCTGGATTAGCTATTCGAAAATGGAAGATGCTTAATGATCTGGCGGAGATGGGATTGTATTGTGTTGACGACGATGGTTGCGGTGAATCGGAATTTTTGTTTAGTCTTGTGGCTCAGCCTACTCTTGTTGTGCAAGTGATTGAGTCACAGAGATAGGATTCTGATTTGGACGCCATTCACACTTTAATCTCCAGTGGTGAGACAGTGAAAGATTGGACCTTGCATGCAAATGGGGGTCTACGGTTTAGGGGTTTGTTAGTGGTTCCCACAGTTTGTCGTAAGGACATCTTACGGGAGTTTCACACTTCCCGCTTTGCAGTTCATCTAGGTGGTACCAAGATGTATCACAATTTGAGGCGTCAGTATTGGTGAAACGAGATGAAAAAGGATGTTGCACAATTTGTGGCAAAGTGCCTTACCTGTCAATAGGTGAAGGCCGAGCATCAGAAACCAGCTGGGTTGTTGCAACCATTGCCTGTAGCGCAGTGGAAATAGGAACATATTGCTATGAATTTTGTGATAGGCCTTCCAAGGTCACGGAGAGACAATGAGGCCGTATGGGTTATCATTGATAGACTAACCAAGACGGCTCACTTTTTGCCTATCAAAGCAACAGATGATGCAGAGGCACTTGGTAATCTTTATGTAAAGGAGATTGTAAGGTTACATGGAGTCCCAGTAACCATTGTCTCAAATAAGGATGCCAAGTTCACTTCGAAGTTCTAGGAAGGACTTCAAGTAGCGTTTGACTCAGCGTTGGACCTTACTACGGCATTCCATCCACAGACGGACGGCCAGTCGGAACGTACCATCCAGATTTTGGAGGATATGCTTCGGGCATGTGTACTTGACTTGGGTGGTAGTTGGGAAGATTATCTACCGCTTATTGAGTTTGCCTACAACAACAGTTATCAGACGAGCATCGAGATGGCTCCATTTGAGGCGTTGTACAGCAGACCTTGTAGGTTTCCAGTTTGTTGGATGGAGGTGGGCGAGACAGCCGCCTTAGGACCTGACATTGTACTCGAGACCACCGAGAAGATTAAATTGATCCGACAGAGATTGCTCACAGCTCAGAGCTGATAGAAGAGCTATACAGATAGACGGCGACGATCGTTAACTTTTGAGGTGGGAGACCATGTTTTTTTGCGGGTTTCTCCATGGAAATGATTGATGAGATTTGGAAAAAGTGGCAAGTTGTCGCCACGGTTCATTGGACCATTTGAGATTTTGGACCGCGTGGGAGAGGTGGCCTATAGACTTGCATTGCCACCACAGATGGACAGGGTTCACAATGTTTTTCATGTGTCGATACTGCGAAAGTATGAACCAGATCCATCTCACATTTTGGATTGGGTTGATGTAGATGTCGATGAAGATGTCTCCTATAAAGAGGGACCAGTGCAGATCCTTGACACACGACAAAAGGTGTTAAGGGGTAAGATAATATCGCTAGTGAAAGTTCTTTGGCGACACCATGGAGTCGAGGAAGCTACTTGGGAGGTTGAGCAAGAGGTTCGCTCCAAGTATCCGATGTTGTTTTCTTCCTCAGGTATGGCCTAATTTCGGAGACGAAATCCTTTTAAGTTGGGGAGATTATGATGTTTCTAATTTTCAACATTTTTCTTTTCCGGACTTCCGTTGATGCAAAGGTATTTTTGTGATTTCACGTTTTGCGTACGGGATTGTGGTTGGGTCCAATTGCATTTTGTGCATTTTAATTTATATGATCATGTGGTGTTTACTTAGTGGTGCATGTATTTTAATGTGTGGTGCAAATTGAGACAAAAGATAAAGAGAAAAGAAATAAAATTTGTGGGACCCTTCACTATAGTTAAAGTGGTCTAGAGACCACAATTCTGCCTTCTCATTTCTCTCTCCTTTAGCTTCATTCTCTCTCTCATTTTCCTTCATTTCATTTGAGAAACAAACTTTGGATCTTGATTTCTCCTTCAATCTTTGAAGATTTTGAATGTCGTTTGAGGCAAAATGGAGAGCACGACGAGCTCTACACGTTCATACCAACAATTCCAACTTTGAGCCTCCCTAGGGAATTCGAAATTAGGGACCCATTTTAAGGGTTTTGCATCAACTTGAGATAGGGGCTTCCTAATCCGCATATTCTTGCACTTTTGTGAGTCAAATTACTTGAATTGTGACTTAGCATGCTTATTTGTGCTAATTGTAGTTTGAAATGATTTAATTGTGTATATATGGTTATGTGAGGACATGTATTAAATGTGTTATGTGGAAAGCATGCTTATATGATGAATTTATATGCTTATTATGTTGTTTATATGCTATATATGATGGATGAAGGCATGCTTTGTTGTGTCATGTGAGAATCCTTTATTATTAAAGCATTAAAAGTATGAGACATGCATGTAAGTCATTGGGTTTCATGATGGGTAATGTTTTGGATAAAGTAAAAAGGGGATTTCCGGGAGAAAATTGTTTTGAATCGGTTTTGAGAAAACCCGGTTGCCGAGGGGGTACCAAAGGGCCGGAGTGTTAATATAGCCTAGAGGGAACTAGGGTGTCACCCTAGCGTGATTGAGCTAGCTGGGCCCCATTAAGACGCCGCGAGGGTACCAAGGGTCAGGGACACTAGCCAATCATTTTCTCGTGTCGCTGCGGGGTCACCAAAGGGCGGGTTATATTAACAGTTTGAAAGTGATGATTTTAAATGTGAAAAAAAAATGAGGAGCGACATCGGCATGCATTGCATCCCCATTGCATTATATTATTTATGTTGAGATTGGAAACCATGTTGTAAATTTCCCGACATTGTATGACCCCATTTTCCATGGTTCTATTCTTTGTTTTGGATTCACAGGGACTTAAGAGGTGCGTCTTAGGCGCCACTTACTGAGCAAATTGCTCACCCCACCATATTTAAATTCTTTTTAGGTCACGGCAAGGAGTTGGCGGATGATAATCCACCTCATGCTTGAGAGCACCTAGGAAGCATTTTGGATGTATTTTTGTAGAGCTTGACTTATTTTGTAACGATGTGTTACTTTTGCAACATGTAAAATATTGGGATTTATCATGTATATGGCCAGTGGGGTAATGTAATTGAGTGTACCAACATTTAATCCTTCTGTGTATTTAAGTGACATGTGGCAAATTATGTTAACAATGTGGTTTTTGTTATTATAGTAAGTGTTAAAATGTATTTAAATTTGTATGTGAGTGTTATGGCGTGGGTGGTTAATTATCAATTGTTGGTGTATATTAGTTCTCATTGGACAGTGGGGAGTTGAGTGAGGAATTACAAGAACCATTCGACGTATAGTTCCATACGTCGACTGAATAACCTGAACCAGTCGACGTGTAGCATCCCACACGTCGACCGGTATCCTGTCAAGTCTTTTCACTGTACATGTTCCAAACCAGTCGACGTGTAGCTTCCCACACGTCGACCGGTATCCTAGCAGTGAGCTATGTCACTATTCATAACCCAAACCAGTTATCGTGTAATGAGCACACGTCGACTGGTTCTTCCACCTATAAAAATTTTCTTTGGTTTCCCTAATTACACTTTGACACTCAATTGATGTTGCGAGTAATTATTTTATGACCCAATAAAATTTAATAATTATATTTTAACCACATAAAAGACTATATTAACTAGGAACCTTATCTTAATTATTTTATATTGCGAGTTATTGACCATTATACCCTTGGAGTCTTAAACCAATGGAATTGTGACAAATGACCGTTTCGTCCTTGATGGACTTTAATATATTAATTTAACGTGAAAGAACCGTATAACCCTTGGATGATTTTGAGTCGGGTCAGGACTTGATTAATGATTCGGATCCAGTGGATCTGGGTCGTTACATTATATATACAATTATAATATTATATATAATATATACCATTAAATATTAGTTATACTATATTTGCATTTTCAATCAACCTTCAAACCCACATGAATATGAGTCGTCTTTGAAATTTACCTGCTATTATTATTATTATTGAGATATTGTGCATTTATTTATTTAATTTTTATTAAATTTTATTTTATATAGATTTGTTAAATGGAATCATCTTCTACAAAACAGGAATAATGCCTAAATGTTTTTTTTTTTTTTTTTTTTTTAAATTAGTTTTTTCTAATAAGATATTCTTATATTATAAGCTGTTAACTTACAATTTATTCCTTTCATGTGACTATTGTGGACTTGACAAGTATTGTGACATTATTCTGGAATTGTTTAGCCATACTTTTATAGACTAAACGATTTTCTATTTAATAAAAGCCTGCATTCAAAACCTTTTTCTTTTTCTTTTTCTCTAAGAAAAAAAGTCAAATAAACTGTTAAAATATTATGCAGAAAAACAATAATTAAAAAAAAAAAAAAAAATTATCAAGACTGATTGATAAAGCAGATTTTTAAATAACCTAAGGAATATTTTAGTAATTTCTATTTCAGATCTCCTTCGGCATCTTGTGATTGAGGGATTTTTTGGGCAAAATAATAGAAAGGGGGTTTGGTGCAAAATCCAAATAGAAAGGAAGCTTTTCATGTCGTTCACCCTATGAAATAGGTAACATGCATATATATATCTATATGTGAACCACGAATATCATAGATATTTTTCCAGCCGCCTTAGACGACAATTCTTCTTATCTTTCAAACTATAGCTTCTAACACACGGCCAATCCAGCTTCTAATAAATATGTAAAATTGACAGAACTATAGATAAATGAGGTATTATGTCACAAAACATTATCGATTGATCGTCTAATTTTATTTAAACTTTCACCATCCTAACCAAAACTTAGGAGAGAAAATCATCCAAACATGTATGGTGTCCTGTTTTTGTTGCTAATTCCATTTCTTGATCTCACTCGATTCTGCACTTCCACTGACACCATATCCCTAAACCAATCTATCAGAGACAACCATGGAGACAAATTAGTCTCTAGCGGAGAATTCTTCACGCTTGGGTTCTTCAGTCCCGGCAATTCCAACAAACGATACATCGGAATTTGGTACAATAAAGTTCAAGAACAAACTATTGTTTGGGTTGCAAATAGAGAGAATCCGATCAATGACACCTCCGGAGTTCTCTCCATTGATAAAACTGGAAACCTGGTTATACATAATGGAAATGATAGCTTCCCCCTCTGGTCGACGAATGTCTCGGTGGCAGCTCCTGCCAGCACTTGTTCAGCTCAACTTTTGGATTCAGGGAATTTGGTTTTGCTTCAGGGCGACGATGGCAAAGCATGGCAAGGCTTTGATTATCCAACAGATACTATGCTTCCTTCCATGAAAATCGGGATGAACCGGAGGACAGGTCTGAACCGGTTCCTAACAGCCTGGAAGTCACCTGATGACCCGGGAATTGGAGAGTGTTCTTACAAGATGGACCTTAGTGGGTCCCCACAAATGTTCTTGTCCAAGGGTTCTGTTCGATTATGGCGAACCGGTCCATGGAATGGGTTTAAATGGAGTGGTGTTCCGAAGATGCCATCTAATTTCATCTTTAATTTCAGTTTTATTGACAATCATGATGAGGTCTACGCCCTTCACACTTTACTTAATACCTCAATTTTCTCAAGATTGGTCGTGAACGAGTCCGGTATTGTGCAAAGGCTTACGTGGTTCGAGGGAGACTGTAGATGGGTCGAGTTCTGGTCGGCACCCAAGGATCGGTGCGATTCTTATGATACATGTGGTTCATATGGTAATTGTAACCTAAGTGACGACGAGAAGTTCAAATGTACATGCTTACCTGGTTTTGAGCCCAAGGTGGCACTTGATTGGTCCTTGAGGGATGCGTCAGGCGGGTGCGTGAGGAAGCGCGAGGGACAAGTTTGTGGAAATGGAGAGGGGTTTGTGCCGATGACACATTCTAGCATTCCCTACACATCGGTGACACGTGTGAATATGAGTTTGAGCTTGAAAGAGTGCAAGGAGGTGTGCTTAAAGAATTGTTCTTGTACTGGTTACACGAGTGCAAACATAAGCGGAGGTGGGAGTGGGTGTGTCACTTGGCATGGTGAATTGATGGATACAAGAGTGTTTTCAAATGGGGGTCAAGATATATACATTCGAGTTGATGCAGTTGAATTAGGTATGCAATCAATCTTTCCATGCTCATATTATTTGCTATTCTTCAATTAAGATAAGGTTAAAATAATAAAAATCCACTTATACTATCTTAAAACAATCATATAAACCTTCACATTTGAAAAAAAAAAAAAAACCTACTTAAAAATTTCATTAATTTTAAAAAATCTATCATATCACCCCATTCCATTTATTTAGATATTGGACTTGATTTGGGGGTTTAAAAAGGCAGGGGTTACAAGGGCATCCTTGTCATATATTATTTTAAAAGTTGGCATATGATAGGCATGTGTTAGTGTCCGGTTACCATTTGACGGCAAACAAAAGGTTGAGGGTGATATGATAGATTTTTAAAAAGTAATGAAGTTTTTAGATATTTTTCTTAGTACATAGGATTATAAGGTTATATGACTAATTGTGAATAGTATAAGAGGGATTTATGATTTTAAATATGGAAGTCAATTTTGTCATTTCATATGTCAGTTAACAATTTGTTAGTATAAGAGGTTATCTGACTGTTTTAGAATAGTAATAGTTGATTTTAAATGAATTGGAACCTATTTCTAATTAAATTGAACTTAAAATTCATTAGTATGTTTGCACCATGATCAAGTAGTTAGAGTTTATTTATTTATTATTATTTAAAATAAATAAAATTCTTTTGTAATATCAACAGGGATAGTTTCTGTATAAAATCCCTAATGATTTCTTCTTTGCAGCTCAATATTCCAAGTCAAAAGGCAATCATGGCAAGAAGTTGAATGTGGCCATTATGGTAGTGTCAGTCGCTGTAGTATCATTTCTCATAATCTTCTTGGCATATTGGTTTGTAATGAAGAAGAGTAAAGGTAAACAGATTATTCTTCTTTGCAGCTCGGTACTGTGTAAAACGCAACAAACATACCATCAAGAGCTACAACCCATTGTTACTTTCTCACTTTCCAAAATAAAAAGTCCAATGTTCAAGACAATTAAGGGCCAATGCCTATGTGTGACTTTCTTGGCAGTACAAAATAAAATAAAATATACTTGAGCCACTTGATTGTGTTTTTGACCGATTTGGCAACGAAAACATGAAACAGAAATCGTTGCTTAATAGGCCCCAGATCGTTTCATAGCTGGATCACTCAGTCCCTTCATTACGAATATTGAGCCTGATATATTTACTGTATAATTCATTGACAGGAAAAAGGGGAATGGGAAACTTGTCATTTAGCGAAAATGAGCTTGTTGAAAGTGAAACAAGTACAGATTTACCATTCTTTGATCTGAGCACCATTGTAGCTGCCACAGACAATTTCTCTTCTGCTAACAGGCTTGGACAAGGTGGTTTTGGCACAGTTTATAAGGTACATAATAGTTGTCTCAAAATTGCGTAGCTAGCTTCATCCAATTGTGTTTGAAGTAAAGCAAATTTAACTTTATGTTCAAGGTACGATTGGCTTCAATAGGCTGAGAGTAAACTTGTACAAAATTGCCATTATCAGAAAATTAATTTAATCAATTTCAGGGCCGGCTACATAATGGACAAGAAATAGCTGTGAAAAGACTATCAAAAAATTCGGGGCAAGGGATAAAGGAATTTAAGAATGAAGTTATGCTGATTGCGAAACTCCAGCACAGGAATCTCGTTAAACTTGTAGGATGCTGCATTCAACAAGAGGAGAAAATGTTAATCTATGAATACTTGCCAAACAAAAGCTTGGACTCGTTTATCTTTGGTACATATGTGTTTTTTCTACAACTTTCATTTGGCTCATCTTTTAGGATGCTACATTCAACAAGAGGAGAAAATGTTAATCTATATATATATGT